CCGCGGCCCCCGCCCGGCCGGTGAGCGCGGAGCCGGCCTCGCCCCTGCGGCACCAGCGCCCCGTGAAGCGCCTCCAGGAGTCCAGCGTCTTCCCCGACCAGACCCACACCCCCGAGGTGATGCCCCCAGCCAGGCTCATGAAGTACTTGAGCATGAAGACGGCGTAGTCGGGCCGGGCCCGGCCGGGCTCCCCGGGGCAGGCGCAGGTGTGGGGGGGCTCCCAGCTCTCCCGGTAGTGCTGCTCGTACGCGTAGCACGCCACCACCAGCGAGGCCGGCACCGTGGAGAGCACCGTGAAGACGCCGATGCGGATCATCAGCTTCTCCAGCTTGTCCGTCTTGGTGCCCCCCTGCTTGATCACGCTGCGGATGCGGAAGAGGGAGACGAAGCCGGCCAGCAGGAAGAGGGTCCCGGTGAAGAGATACACCACCAGGGGGGCCAGCACGAAGCCCCGCAGGCTGCCCAGGCTCTGGTTCCCCACGTAGCACACCCCGGCCACCGGGTCCCCGTCCACCGAGCTCAGCGCCAGCACGGCGATGGACTTGACGCTGGGGACGAGCCAGGCGGCCAGGTGGAAGTACTGCGAGTAGCCGGCGATGGCCTCGTTGCCCCACTTCATGCCGGCGGCCAGGAACCAGGTGAGGGACAGGACCACCCACCAGATGGAGCTGGCCATGCCGAAGAAGTAGAGGATCATGAAGAGTATGGTGCAGCCCTCCTTCTTGGTGCCCTGCGCCACGGTGCGGTAGCCCTCCTCATGCAGAGCGCCGGGCCCGTGGTCTCGTAGTGCACGTGCCGGTGCTCCTGGTTGCAAGCCACGCTGGCGTGACCCGCCACCAGCCGCACGATGTAGCCCAGCGACACGAAGAGGTAGCAGGCGGAGAGGAAGATGATGGGGCGCTCCGGGTACCTGAAGCGCTCCATGTCGATCAGGAAGGTGGCCACGGTGGCGGGGGGGGAGAGGAAGCACAGGATGGACCACAGCCCGATCCAGAAGCTGGCGAAGGTCTTCTCGTCCTGGGTGAAGTAGGGCTGGAAGCAGGGCACCGCGCAGTTGGGCACCTGGCCCGTCTGGATCTTGCTGTAGAGCGGGTGGGACTCGCGGGCGATGGGCACGAAGGGCTCGGTGCACCGGCACACTCGGCCGCAGTCCGCGCCGCTGCCCGGGCTCAGGCTTCGCTGGGGCCCGCGGGAGGAGCGCGTGGGCTTGGCCAGGGCGGGCGGCGCGGCGGTGGTGCTGGGCTCGCTGCGGTTGTAATCCATGCACAGCGTGTCCGGGTCGCCCAGCGCCGGCAGCCGGTCGCAGCTCATCCTCTCGGGCCAGGCGAAGCCGTACTGGCGCATGAAGGGCGAGCAGCCGGCCTTGGCCCGCTCCCACACGGCGCGGCAGGGCGGCAGGGGCTTGGCGTAGTCCAGCAGGCAGATGGGGGTGTAGACGCTGCACAGGAAGAAGCGCAGGTCCGGCGAGCACTGGACCTCCACCAGCGGCCAGAACTGGTGCCCCTCCAAGCCGGCCTCGTCCTGCGTGTCGTGGTTGAACTGGTTGGGCATGTAGGTCAGGTTGTAGCCGATGCCCTTGCACATGGGCACAGTGAGCTCCTGGCACACGGGCGCCTTGGAGGCGGCGGCCACTAGCAGCGGGAGCCGGAGGAGCAGCAGGCTCAAGAGCGCCCGGCCAGGGCCGACCATCCTGGGCAGAGCGCGCCCTGCGCCGATCGCGGCTGTCCCGGGGCAGCAGGCGAGCTCGGGCAGGCTCGCCCGGAGCTGCGAAGTCTCCCCCCAGCGGGGTCCTGCGGGCCCGGGCGCGCCCTCCGCTCCGGCCGCTCCCTCGGCAGGGCGGCACTCGGCTCCCGGAGAAGTTTGGCAGCGGCACGCCCGCCCCGGAGGGCACAGCCCGCCCTCGGGGGGCGGCTCGGCGCTCAGCCCCGGCCAGGCTCCATGGCCGCGGGCAGCCACCTGCAGCGGAAGGGGAAGAGGAGCGCGGTCCGGAGGGGCGTGCAGGGCATCAGGCTGCCCCGGGCGCCCAGCACCGCGTGGCCCCCAAGCGGCCGCCGCCGCTGCCCGGCTGCGCTCTGTTGGCTCCGGCCCGGGCTCTCGCTGCAGCCGGCCGGGCAGAGTGGAGTTGGGGACTCGGCCACCTGTGCTCAAATGCACAGGCTGCAGCCCCGCCCCCCGTCGGAGAGCCACGCCCCTCTGCCTTGAGCCCAGCCTACTCCCACGGTGAGTCCCTGGGGGGTTCAGCCCCTTTTCCCGCTAGGGCCCCACCTCTAAATCCGTTGAAACAGTCGGGAACCCTCCGCTTGCAAAGGGACAGCCGCTGCCCTGCAGCCCTTCCTCAGGCACAGCACCCCCGGCACACTGCTCCCTGGTCCCTTGCGCTGGCTGCACAACGCCACAGCGCCGTGGCTGTGCATGAGACTTGCAATGAGTCTCTGCAGCTACCACAAAGCTCAATAGTAAACAAAGCCTAGACACCGGTAAATCTGCACCATCACAGCAGCTGTCACAGTCAAGACTGTCGGTTAATTAAAAACAATTCTAGGCTGTGCAAGCTGATAGTGCTTTTTACAGGATTTTAGGTGTCCTAATAATTTTATTTGATAATATTTCAACATCTATAGAAGGATGTTTGAGCTATAGTTCACTTCCTGCCTCTACACCAGCTTGGTGATAAATGGACTGGGAAATGGAGCTCATTGAAACAAACCATTTCCCACCACACCGATAAGTTAAATTGAAGAATGGGAACAACATAGAAATAGGTGTTCAAAGCACAAAACTTAAGAAGTGCATCAATAACCTACTCAAGCGTACTCTGGAGGGCCCAATTGCTCACTAATTTATACATTTCATTAAAAATAACTACCAAAACCTCACAGTTTCTCCAGCTTCCACTATAAACAGTAGTTCTCACTAAAAGGATAAGAAAATGTACCAGGGACATATTTATAAACACCTTGTCCTAGCTCCTTTGTGTCTACTTGTTAATTTTTTTCTGTGTCCCTCTTCCTTGACTTGCTGATCTCTGGGACTCTCAGCTAGCTCCTTCTGGTCCTGCAGAAGCCCTGCTGCTCTTTCAGCTGCAGTGCATGGCCCTAACAGACAGGCCAGCTCACTTTCTTTGGTTTAAAAGATGCCTGAATAGCTCCCAGTTTTGCTTAGACACCAGACCATGGTTTATGAACGTCTAACACAGGGACACAGATAATTACTGAATGGGGAGAGGCTATGTCTATACTGCACCGGTTTTGTGCAAGAAATATGCAAATGAGGCTAAGCGTGGAATATCGCTGAGTCTCATTTGCATAATTAATGAGCACCTGCTTTTTGCGCAAGAGGCTTTTGCGCAAAAAGAAGACATCTATACGGCTCCTTTTTGCGCAAAACACCCTCTTGCTCAAGAGCTGTTCTTCCAGGAAAAAAAATGCAGAAGAACGGCTCTTGCGCAAGAAGGATTTTTTTGTACAAAAAGGAGCTGTCTACACGGCTCCTTTTTGCACAAAAGCCTCTTGCGCAAAAAGCGGGCGCTCGTTAATTACACAAATGAGGCTCTGCGATATTCCACACTTAGCCTCATTTGCATATTTCTTACGCAAAATGGGTGCAGTATAGACATAGCCCCAGGGAAGAAGCAGATATTGAGACTTACTATCCCCCCTCATCTCCTCATTTCCCACCCTTGAAAGGTGCAATGTATTTGTCCACTCCTTCCATTAACTTTTCCCCCTTCACCCACTGAGCACAAGAGATGTAGGATTTTGGCATGTAAGAGGAAGCAGTGGGAATTGGTGTGCAGCCATGGCTCTCAAAAGTATTATCTGTGAACCACTAGGAGTCCATCGTGGGCTGCGGGGTCGGGAGGCACCCCCCTGCAGCAGGGAGCCTGCCTTGGCACTCCAGCCCTGCTCACTAGGGCAGGAGGTCCTCATGCGCTGGACTCAGCTTACGTAGGTAGGTAGCTGGTAGACTGTGGAAAGGTCTGCACTGAACAGGGTGGACCACAGGCCAAAAAGTTTTAGAACCACGGGTGAACAGCAATGATATCATAAAAAGGCCTAACTAGCTAATCAGAAGGTGGGTTTGGACACACCGTGCAAGCACAGAACAAGCTACATTCTCCACTCTCCTCTCCAGGCCTCCAGTTAATAATCTGACTGTTCGCCACCTATTTTCCCTAGCAGTCTGCTACTCAGCCCACTCTACACTGAAGCAGAAAGAACCAGAGCAGGAAACAAATAGACGGCATGTAGGATGCAAAGGCTGCTCTGTGTAACTGTGTCAAAAAGAGAGGATGATGCATGTAAACAGCCCTTCCTTAGTTAAGGGGTAGGGGACGGTACTTATGTCAAAGATGCAGTAATGACAGTTTGGCTGGAGACTGAGTCACAGCAGCTAGGGATGTCTTGGGAGTGAATCCCTGTTGAACTGGAAGCCTGTCTCAGGAAGAGATCTCCTCTTGTTACAGTCTGAGTACAGTACATCCGATTTCACTCTCACTTCTTCATCAACAGACACAAGCTCTGATCTGGGACCTGTTGGAGACCATGACAGAACTCCCCCTGACTTCAATGGTACATGGATCAGCCCATATTTTTTCCCTTCTTGGTGAGATTTTAATAGTAAGAATCCTGCCTGTTATCACCATTGACTTGGTGATTTTGTAAAGAAAACGTGTAGAAAGAAAGCTAAACTGAATTTTGTTTTCAAATTGAATAAGTTTCTTCAAAGGAAGTTAACTTTTATTTTTCCACTCATGCGTCATCTATGCATTTTATTTGTACACATTTTTCATGTTGGCTTAATGCAAATACAAGCGTTCATCTAGACCAGAAGTTCTCAAACTGTGCTCCGAGAATTCCATTCAGGGGGCCTGAGGAAAGGTTGTTTCAGGGTTTTTTTAGGAAACACTTTTATCCAAAGCCCTTTACAATAGTTAGCTAATGGTACAAACAATATTTGGAAAGATCATTAAGTGGGCCACTGAGACTCTGCAATTTTCAATTGGTCCATGAAAAAAAAAGTCAGATTACCAAAATAATCAAGGTACATCACTTTATTTTCATTTACTTCTTATTGCTTATAATAGAGGAGGAAGAAAAAAAAATGGGAGAGGCAGGAAGAGTGAATGTTCTTTTTCTTGTCTGGTTCCCGGGGGGTCCCCCCAAAATGAAGCTGAGCACAGGGCCCCACGGACTCTAAATATGCCACTAAATAGACAGAATGCACATCCTTGTCTTGGCACCTGATCACCTTGCCAAAGAGCATAAACCACAAAGGGTGCTTCTCAATAGTGTTGCAGGCGCTGTGGATCACAAGGGCCATTTCATTGACATTAATGTGGGATGGCTGGGAAAGGTGCATGACGTGTGTATCTTTAGGAACTCCTGCCAGGGTATGGGCTCGTATTCTGAAAGCTTGAATATGAAGCTTCCTTCCTAGACTAGAAAAATTACCATCAAAGCCATTGAAATGCTAACAGTGATCCTTGGAGACCCAGCCTACCTGTTGCTCCCATGGCTCATGAAGCCGTACACAGGCAGCCTAGACCGCAGTAAGGAGCAGTTCAACTACAGGCTGAGCAAGTGCAGAATGGTGGTAGAATGTGCGTTTGGACATTTAAAAGGAAGGTTTCACAGTTTACGGACAAGAGCAGACCTCAACAAAAGCAACATTCCCATTGTTGTGGCAACCTGATGTGTACTCCATAGTATCTGTGAAAATAAACACAGAAGCTAATCTCTTAGCATGAAAGAATGTCTGCCCAACACAATATACATGTGTTATGTATAAGGCCAAAATTATGCTTTTAAGCACCCACTATTCAGCAATACAGCACTGTAACAGGGCAGCTGCCCTGTACTGGCCCCTTAAGAGCCAAACCCCAGCCTGGAGCAGGCCCGGGGAGTTCAGCCCAGCTGGGCGGCATTGGCCAATTAAGGCCCAGCTGGGGGCTATAAAAGGGCAGGGCTGCTTCAGCCAAGGCAGTGTGAGCCTAGCTGCCGAGGGAGCAGGACGCTCTCTGGAGCTAGGGCAGGGCTAGAGAGTTAGGCTGGGCCAGGGCGCTCGGACAGCCGGCCAGCCTGCTAGGCCTGCGGACAGGCCTGCTGGAGAGACACCAATCCCCCGGAAGGGGGGCTCAGAGCGAGTGACTTGGGCACTGCCGGAGGGCAGTGTGGCGAAGAGAGCAACGCGACTAGAAGATTCCAGAGGGGAAACGCCACGTGAGCGGAGGCCTGTGCGGGCGGAACGGACTGATTCCGGGGACAGATGACGGACCCCCGCTACGGTGGTGAGTGACCCCCTCACAAGCACAGAGATCTTAAGGAGGCAGCTAAACTCAAATTAGTGGCAGGCATGGTAAGGAACAGGCTGGGACTTGCTCTTTTGCTTCTGCTTTGAAAGCATGTGCAACGCAATGGCTGCAAGTAGCAGCTCTCAGCTGTGCAAGCATCTGCATTTGCAAAGGAGGGCCATAGTGGCATGATGTCAGGGCAGGGTATGGGCTCATGTGATCCTCGTGTGTTGAGCACCGCCCACTTGCTGGAAGAGGGCGACTTTCCCTTCCCGTAGGAGCCTGCAGTGGGGAAAGGGGGGAAGCAGCATGGTGGCAAGGCAGGGGTTTTAACCATGCTTTGCTTGGAATGAGCAAATGGAGTTGTACTGCATTAGTGGTATCAGTCACATAGCTTCCCTTGTTTCAGCCAGGTTGCCATGCACGATGTCAGTCTTGTCCGCATCACACAGAATGACAGGAGGTGGATGCTGACTGTGGCCAAAAGCCTAGAACTTCAGCATGGAAAGGTCAGAATAAGGCAGCCTTCTCCGAAACCTTGTGCAAAGTATGTCTCTGAGAGCTTTATGGAGATGTGCACAGAGGTGTCCCTCCATCTCCAGACATGTTAAACTGTTCTGGGGAGCCCCAACTGTATAGGCAGAGTGGCCACCACACTTCACACCCAATTGCTTATGCCCGTATAAGTGGTATGTAGCTGCTCATAGAAACAGCATGTTTGCAGCAATAACCCAGACTTGTCTTCTGGTATGACTGCCTCAGCTCCTTTATTTTCACTGCTGGGTATCTTTGATGCACCCTTTCCCCACCATTCCCTAGGTGACCTTGGCATAGATATCAGCATTTCTTTCGCTGCTTCGTAGTTCTGCTTGAAGAGATTCCTCTCCCCGTACAGTAATGAGGTCAATGATCTCCTGCATGCTCCATACTGGAATTTTTTTGCAACCATGGACATTTATGGTTGTACTGCTGAGGTGTGTGGCTTGCTCTTAGACCTATTCACCATGCTGGCCACACAGGAAATGAAACTCAAACTTTCCCAGGGCCTTTTCTGTGCACCTGGAGAGCAGCCAAGTTGAAAGTGTTGGCCAGAGCGGTCATGTTGGGGCGCTGGAAAACACCTCCCAGAGGTCAAGAATGTTGACTTTCCTAGTCTGCACTCCCCTGAAGTTGACCATGCAAGGTGGAATTTACTGTTGCTCCTTAGGAAGTGGGCCTGTTGAATCCCAGTTTTTCAATTTCAATATGAATCTGATCCTTGTGGAAACCTCCTATAGAATGAAACCAGTCCAGTGCTAGAGACACTGACCAGCCTAAGGTCTGAGAATTCCATTCCTCTAGAAACGGGTAACATGGTTATGGAATTCAGAGCTCTGTAGTTAGCAGTTATAGAAAGGAGATTCTCTGTTCATTTTGACAGGGCAATTCTCTGAGCTGGTGCTATGGTTCCTTCATGTTGCAGCCACTTGCATTTAAAAACTGAATGCATTTTTTCATCATTATTGTAATACTGTTGGCAGTTTGGGTTTACGCAGGGCTCAACACGCAGCCCACGGGTGGGAGCCAAAACAAAAAAGTCGTCAATATAACGGTTTTCTGTTGCTATGCGTTTTAGTAGTTAAATTCCTGGACTGTCATTGCTCATGAAAAGTGCTGTCACATGGGTAGAAATCAGGTAAATGTTGCACTTTATTAATATCAGCAGAACTGACTTAAATGGGGCTTGTGTGTTGTGTAGTCTTGCCTGAATCTTTATATTCATGCCTGTCAGTGTGAATGAAACTATTTGCATATATTTGCATATATATTTGCATGTATATGCAACCACACTTAAGTTGCAG